TGGTTGATAAATAAGAAAGCTTTTAAAATGGGCATTAAAACAGTAAAATTTCTTCTCCTGACTAAGCGCACATTATAACTGCTATAATTGTTTTTTTTTCTTTCTCTTTTTTTTTTGAAGATCAATGCCAACGAAAAACTGTTCCAATTGAAAACGCTGTTTGGGAATCTGTTGTACTGTTTTATCTGCAAACCGCATCTGCATCAACTTTTTTCCACAAATAACTTACCGCTATGTGATGTAATTCTGGAGCCAAAAAAATTTACACTTATAACAACAGCAGTACAAAATATGAATTTATTGGGCTATTATAAACATAAAAGCGCAAAAAAAATGAAAGGAGAAAAAGCAGAAAAGAAGATGAGCAGACAACGACAAAAATTTTAGCGTTATTGTTCAGCCAAACTTTGGAATTCATTTTTTTTCCAAATGAACAAAAAAAAATTAGCTTCTCTTTCACCTCATTTTTCATTCTTTTCAGCCATACATCTGCCTTAAACCGAAAAAGGACAAAAGCGAGGTCAAATGGTGGAAATGGGGAGGAAAAGAGACGGCTAAAGGATGCAAAATTGGATTTTTTGTCTTTTTCATTAAACTCGATTAACTTTGGGCAGTACTTTGGTACGCAAACACTGTTCTGTTTAGGCAACCCTAAGGTTTTGAAATTTAGATTCTGAAAAAACAATATTATGAAAATAATGAAACTGTATCTTACCCGGTTGATCATAATACATCCCGTAACGATTATACCATACCCGCCTTCACCGAATTTTTTGTATAAATTTATAAGTTCTTCAGTGGGTATCCCATTTTTCTCCATATTAGATGAGTCAAATGTTGCCAACTGCAAATGAGCTTTTGAAGTTAGAAAAAAAAAAGATTGTTAAAAAACTCTGAAAAAAAAATGAAAGAATAATTTACTGGTCTCAAAATAATTGGTTTTAACCATCGTTTAATAGAAAAAAGTTAGAGGTTTTTTTTTTTAAATTCTCCCTAGTTTTATTTTTGCTATTTATCCTTTCATATCAATTCAGCATTGATTCTTGTTTTTTTTTTTTCTTTTTCAAGTACTTAATACTTTTTGCCTCTCCCCAGTTTTTGCCGTAATTTTAATAGCATCACGAGAATAGTTCAAAGTTAAATTTTGCTTGAAAAAGCGTTTGTCTTTGGTTCTTTTTTTGCCTCTACTCAATAAATGTGACAAATTATTGCAACTCATCAAATAGTGATCTTTCTTTCCACCTGGGAAAAAGCTTTTTTTTTGCCTTAGCAATATGAAATTTACTATCTGAGCAGCTATAGCAAAATGAAAAATAACTATGAAGCGTTTCTTTATGTCAAACGCATTCATAAAATATCCGATATATACCAAACAAAAAATTTATATGTGCAACAAGACTCCAAAACATTATTTATACCGAATTAAAATAGTCACAAATGAGGTCTTTAATGTGGGAAACGATGGTGACTAATCAAAGAGCTACCAGTAGAATCAATAAAACTTACTTTTTCGCTCATAGCGCTCTTCATAAGACGATTTGGAGTAACAACACTGCAGGCATATGGAAATCGGAAGCCATCAGTAAGGACGGTCACATCGGCCGGTTCACCATCCCAACGTGTCATTGGTTTAAATGTTGGTCCTTCCATCTCATCGGCTGACATCACTGTCTTTACGGGGAATACTACACTTAAATAAAAAAATATGAAAACTTTATTCAACGAGGTAAATGGTTTTACTGCAAATTGACGTATTTTCGACACTGTACAGAATCAACTTAAAAATATCAAAAACTGCCTTTATGAGATAAAATTCGGGCTGGTATTGCAACAAGTTTTAGATGCCAACTTCGGTACAGTAAAACCTGCGCAATTCCGATGGCGAAGGCTTCAAATCAACTGAGCAAAATGAAATTCTTTAAATTCAGTTGTCAAGATAGCGGAGTCACTGATCAATCTTTTGATGTACAAACTGCAACTTGCACGAATCAAAAAATTCTGGTTTCATATACAGCCTTCGTCAAGAAGAAAGGCAAGTATATATATGTATTTAATACTACATAATAAACTTTTCAAGACGCCTGATAAAGTGAAATGTACCAGCATTAAATAACAGTTCAGTCAAAAAACAGCAGAAATATGCATGCATTTCTGGACAGGCTGTCCAGCAGTACTCATGTTTTAAAAAATTCAGTCGATGTTTAAACATTTACCAACAAATATTGACGCAAATAATCACCTTAAAAAGCCGCGGTGTCTCCAGCTACAGCTCTAATCCAATTTAAAAACTATAAGATTTAGAAAGAATTCCAATAAAAAATAAGTCTTCATCTAAACATATAAAGATTCCCATTTTGATCAACATTTCAACAAAGGTTACAAATTAAATATCAATTTCCTTACAATAGCTTCCCTATAAGCTACGGTTGATAAGTGAACAAAAAACATAAATATACATTACAAGCCTTAAAATCTAAATGATTTCACAATAATCATGAAAATTAATTACCGAAAATCAATTGTGTTTTTTTTTTCTGGTAGTAAACTTGCACTTTATTTCATTTCATTTTAATATTTGCTATAAACATTGCAGATTACATTTTATTGAATATATGTGATTTTTTTATCACCTTTTAAATAGTTTTTAGATAGAGTGATGTTATCATCAGGACGTGATACGGCGACTAGTCGAGTGCAAATAAACTAAAGGCTTTTGACAAAAAAAAACTTATCTTCGATAAAACTGTTATTTCAAAAAAAAAAACCCCAAGCAGGCAAAAAGGTAGTGCCAAGAGGAACTTTTGAAAGAATCAGTTAAGTTGCAAAACCAGAAAATAAATGACCTACAAAAAAAGTAATTTTACTGACAACGATTCACGGCATTATTAAAAAAACAGCGACTTTTTCCCATATCAAACAGGTTATTATTATTATTATTATTATTATTATTATTATTATTGTACTATCATTATTAACATTATTATTATTATTATTATTATTATTATTATTATTATTGACTATCATTATTAACATTATTATTATTATTATTATTATTATTATTATTTTCATTACTACAATCAATCTTATTTTTTAATTATTTTCTTTCTTCCACTGAAAGTTTGTAATTATGTCATCTATCAAGTTAAGCCGAGTAGATTTTAGATGATACAGAAGAATATGATGTTAAGCAACGTACACTAATTCAGCAACACACATTCGCATTAAATTAAAAAAATCTTTATATCAGTGACGTATTCTTCTTCCACTAGACAGAAGCAGATATTTGCAGAGTACAGCTTTATTTCGTCTGAAACTCTTGACCACATCCATAACCCGACTCCAACAGTTTTGATTAATTTAGCCGTTGGTAGTTAAACAGATTACAGAATAAGCGACAATTACTAGATGAACAAACACCGCCAGCAGTAATCAAAGCGAGTGAAGAAACGAAACCATAAGGCAGAAGCGAGAAAAAAGACCACAGAAAACCAAACGAAAATGGTTTTTAATAAAACTGATTGTGCAATAAAAGCTAACAGCAATATTGCAGCTTTTACGATATCACAATTTCCGAAGTCTTGACTCTCAATCTAGTTCTTTAGTGAAACTTTTTGCAGAATTATACTGTTATCGTTTGTGCAAACACTGATAGCAAGCAGTGACTAAAGACCTGCTTATTTTCGTCAGTTGGTCAAAATGAAAATGCCCATTTTATATTCATCTAAATCATGATTTTCTTAACGATAAGTTCAAAACATTTCTTTAAAAGAGAAGCAAAAGTCATATATCTGGGGAAGTTCATTACTTTTAATAAGTGGCCATAAGCCATCATTTTCCTCCACAAAAAATTACATTTAAGGAGGTGTTCTCTGGATAAGCGTTCGTATACAGAAACATTTACTAAAGTTAGCTAAAGTAGCAAGAAAAAAGAAAAGTAAAGATTAACAAGCTGTAACAGCATTTTAACAGCTTTTCTGATAACTTTCACCCAGTTTTTAAAACATTCCTCGGAACTACCAGTGACACATTAGTGTGTCGAACACATATTTCTCTCGAAGCTTACTAGACTGCAGTTTTCAAAGAACAACTTGTTTTGTGCAAAAAATAACAGACTTTTTTCTCCAACCCTCCACCCCCAACTTTTTCATATGGCGTAATCCACTAGATTAGGAACAACGGTGCTGTATCAAAAGTATCATCGTTTTGAAATTCTGAAAACTACATTTCTTGCTGGTCTTCTCCTAAGTCCTGCAATCCAATTTTGACAGCTATCCAACAGGAGCTTCCTGTGATAGTTTTACAATAATACGGGGTGTTTTTTTTCTAATACGTTTCTCACCAAATACCTAGTCAGTCGAGCAAAAACTGAGTGTACTTTATTGTTTCCAGCCTATTTTTTCAGCTGTTTGCCATTTAAAAGCTTAAGTTCTGCTCCTAAATGTACCGCTTTTCGTCTCCTGAAATACCTATTCAGAATTTTTCCTTCTCTTTTTTAGACTTCCTCAGCGCTGTCTAAAAAGTCTTTCCACTAATTCTTCAGGCAGCATCCGGCTTTTTCTGCAGTTCATACACCTTACAACATTCACTGTCGTAAACTTTGTAAGTAATGACATAACAACTTTCCAAACAGGAAAATCGCTGACCCGTGATTCCTCAGGTATCTGGTATGCAAATCGCTGACCAATTAGTAGTCTCGCCCTTGTTCTGACACATTTGAGCACATTCTTCAAGTATCAAACTTCTTGATCTGCATTCCATCATACAAAGATATTCAAGGTAACCAGCTCCATTAAAAAAATTCCTTCCTTTGTTATCTCCAAGAAAAAGCAGGCAAGAAAAGTTAGTATATCTGGGAATCATCAAATTTGAGATGATTGCGAGCTTGCACAATGAAACTCGTTGTCGTAATTCGTTTTGTAAGGCTGGTGAAGAGGATCTTTTTCTGCTACTCCGCATTCTTAGTGAAGGTTAATGGCCAATTTTTTTATCTTCTCAAGTTAGTTGAAGTAAAAATTCAAGTATCATTTTGTATTACAACTTAAATATTTCTTACTTTCTGAAAAAAAAAGTCCCCAAGTTTCTTTAAAAAAACTGCGTAAAAGAAATCTTTTTTTTTTGGCTCAAAATTTAAGGTTTGTTGGCCTGAAAGCAGCAGGGGAAACAAAGTGACTTTACTCTTCCAGACTTCTCTACGCTAATACTACAGCTGTATCAATAAGAGTAATTGAGTATCATTGCTGTACACTACTCTAACATCTATTCAATGCTAATCTAGGTAACAAAGAAGATCATTCTTGTGTACCACTTTTTCCAAATACATCCAGAAATCAAACACAGCCTGCAACAACGCTATTATTTTCTCTAATTATTTGTGAATGTGCCAAAGAACGATCAATATAGTTAATTTTACAGCAGTTCCTATCAACGCATTTACTTTACTTTTGCTGTCCAAAAAAAAGTAAAAAAAATAAAAATAGCTTACTGCTTTATTAGATAAAACGAAAAAAGAACATTCATTACACATTGAATACTGCCGCATTCAATGTCTAAATTGAAAAAACCGTCCGTTTAGTTTCTCACCAATCTCCTCATCCTGCCCTTCATGTTCATTTTTTTTCTCGCTTCTTCATCGCACCGCTATCTTCCATCACCCTTCACTCCCGCAAAAAAGTGCTCAAACGAAGCAGCAGCAGAAATAATAGTGCTAATGATTGCCGTATTAAAATACTTTTCCTCACCGTACAAAAAACGTTGCTTATAATTTACTGTTTACACGCATCTGTATATCAGTAACCACTGTTATTTGCCGAAAAAATAATCAGACTTCTAATGTATAAAAACTGTTAACAAAGACTAAGTTGTCATAAATCTTACTTTCTGACGAACACGGGCAAGAGATAGTAGCTTGGACAAATATAAAAAAAAGCAAAAAAAAAAGTATAATTACCGTTACAAAAATAATTAAACGTTTAAAAACAACGCAAAGAAAACCATGCCTATAGCCCTTAACTAAGACAGCAACAAAGCAGTGCAAATAGAGAGTTGATTTTCACACAGATATAGACTGCCACAAAAAAAAAGAAAAACGAAAGGAAAATAGCAGTTGACGAACTGAACTTATATAATACGGCTTATTGATGTTCTTCAAACGTCGTTTTTTTCCACTCCTTTTTTTCCCTTCCTGTTATTGTTTTTCAATTGCCTTCCTTATTTTGGGGAGAACAACAAGAAGAGGAAGGCAAAAAAAAAAATAGCAAACAGCAACAGAACTTTTTTAAAAGTACCTGGCGAAAAATGTTGCACTGTTGTTCAGCTGGCGTCACCCCTACAACAAATTTATTCCAAATGACAATAGTATACACAAGTTTTTTTTCCACAGACATTTTACTATTACTAATTCTAGTCTAAATTTGAATCTATTGATTTTTTAAGAGATTACTTGACAAATTTCTCCACAGCTCTCTTTTTCCTAACCTTTTTCTCTCTCTTTTCTATTTGTAGCGAATAAAAAATTTGAAAAAAAACAAAATGAGAGCAACTTTTAATTTGCTTCTCCTTTTCTCCATTTGAATGCTTTCAACTTCTCTACTAAATGTTCATCAATTGAAAATAAAGTAATGTAATGCAAGTCAGTGCAGCACCTTCCTTTCCTTCAGAAAAAATAA